TTTCTTTATATTTCATTTCCTTTTTTGTATTATCCAAAAGTTTTAGCTAAAAATGAGCTACCTTTATAGTTTCAAAGTATCCACTTTGGGAAAAAAACAAAAAGAACTCAGGGATGGTCTAGGAAGAAAATTCTTGAATGAAAAAAAAAAAAAAAAAAAGGACACAGGGAGCCTATTCTATTTCTGGACTATTCTAGACTGAACTGGTGTAGGACTAAAAAACAGATCAACTTTTCCCAAAATGATGAGGCCCTGTCTGAGAGGCCAACTCACAGCAGCTGCTGGGGTTTGGTGACCTTTCCTAGCTACAGTAGCACTTTCTCTTCCTGCCTTTTGTACCATTTCAGCAAAAATGTTGAAAAAGTCATATTTTCAGTTCTTTACATTGAAGACTGAGAAGAAATTCTTCCTCTAACTTGCAGGGTAAAGATTCTTCAACCCTTAACATTTTTCACATGGTCCCAGGTGTGGCCACACTAGACAGACCTTTTTTATTATTATTTGTACAAATTTATGGGGTACATGTGAAATTTTGCTACATATATATAATGTGTAGTGATCAAGTCAGGGTATTTAGGGTGTTGGTCACCTGAGTATTTTTGTTAAGTATAGTTACACCGCTCTGGTATTAAATATTGAATTGATTCCTTCCATCTTACAATGTTTGTAACCTTTAGCCCACTTCTCTTCATCCTCCCTTCTCCTTCCCATAGACACACCTTCTTTTAGCATTGCTCTGGTCTGCCTAGAAAAGCAACAGGAGAAATATATAATCATTTCTACATATAGGAAGTAGAGTAAGGTGAAGGCTAAAGTCCTCAGAGCTTGTCCTTCTCTTACTTTGTTGGCCACAATTTCAAATTCTCTTTACTGAAAACCTCTCATCTTTCTGTCCTTTAAATACTGGAATGCCCCAGGGCTCAATGGGTAGATGATCTCCAAAGATGGTGCTCACCAAGTCTTCCCCTCCCAGTGTGTACATGACACTCTATCCATGAAGAGGTAGAATCTATTTCCCCTCCCCTTTAATCAGGGCTTGTTGCATGACTTGCTTTGATCAACAGAATGCAGTTCCTGGTTAACTCTCCAGAGGTCTGGTAGCATTTGCTTTTGCTTAGGGAAGCAGCCGCCATGCCACAAGAAAGCTTGAGCTAGACTCCTGAATAAGGAAGAGACAGAGGCCATATAGAGTACATCAAGACACCAGACATATGAGTGAAAGCTTCTTTGGGTCTCTAGCCAGCTAAGAGCAGCAGAGTAGCCCAGCTGATGTCACATGGATTACACTGGAACAACAAAGGCCTGCTCAAATTCCTGACCCATAGGATTGTAAGAAATAGTAAAGTGATATTTTAAGCCATTATGTTTTAGGATGGTTTGTTACTCAGCAGCAAGTAACCAAAATACTCAGTCTTTGAACATCTTTTTCCTGCTTAAGTGATGCTAGCCAGTCCCATTACTAAACCAGTCTACATGCTGTTGACTCCAGCTACAAACTCTCCAAGCCCCCAAACTCAAACATCCAACTTCTGTCACTTGGATTTAGAATTCAGGAAACGTACATCCAGCTTCTTTCCCCATGCCTCTACTGGATAACTAATGGGCATGTCAAAATATAAAGGACTTTTGAGCATCCCCTTAGGGGTCTAAGTCTTTGCCACCTTAGTTTCATAGAGCAAAACTCTGGGAATCATCCAAGATTCCTCTTACTGTCACACCCATATCCAACCCTTCAGTAAATTCTGTTGGCTCTACTTCCAAAATATATCCAGAATCTGACCACTTCTAACTGTCCTGGTCCGTGGTCCGATCCACCATTCTTTCTTACTTGGGTTATTGCAACAGCTTCCTGACTAATTTCTCTGCCTCCACTCTGGCCTCCTTCCTCCCTACTTGGAGGGAGGTTGCAGTGAGCCAAGATTGCACCATTGCACTCCAGCCTGAGCAACAGAATGAAACTCCATCTCAAGAAATAAATAAATAGCTTAAGTCAAATAATATCACTTCTCTGCTCAAAATCCTCCAATTGCTTCCCATCTCAGTAAAATCCCAAACTCCCAATTTTGGCAAATCATACAGGTATAAGTGAATTGTTTTGAGAATATATAAAGAACTATTACAACTAGGCCAGGCACGGTGGCTCACACCTATAATCCCAGCACTTTGGGAGGCCAAGGTGGGCAGATCACTTGAGGTCAGGAGTTCAAGACCAGCCTGGCCAACATGGTGAAACCCCATATCTACTAAAAAATATAAAAAATTAGCTAGGCGTGGTGGTGGGTGCCTGTAATCCCAGCTACTCAGGAGGCTGAGGCAGGAGAATCGCTTGAACCCAGGAGGTGGAGGTTGCAGTGAGCCAAGATTACACCATTGCACTCTAGCTTGGGCAACAATAGCAAAACTCCATCTCAAAAAGAAGGAACTATTACAACTTAATAATAAAATGACAAATAACCTAATTAAAATATGGGGAAAGGATCTGAATAGACATTTCTTTTTTTTTTGAGACGGAGTCTCGCTCTGTTGCCAGGCTGGAGTGCAGTGGTGCGATCTCAGCTCACTGCAATTTCCAACTCCCTGGTTCAAGCAATTCTGCCTCAGCCCCCCAAGTAGCTGGAATTACAGCCACAACAGCCAGCTAACTTTTGAATTTTTAGTAGAGACGGAGTTTCACCATGTTGGCCAGAATGGTCTCAATCTCTAGACCTTGTGATCTACCCGCCTTGGCCTCCCAAAGTGCTGGGATTACAGGCGTGAGCCACTGGGCCTGGCCCTGAATAGACATTTCTATAAATAAGATATATAAATAGCCAATAAGCACATTAAAAAGCTGCTCAACATCATTTGCCATGTGGGAAACACCAATCAAAACCACAATGAGATACGACTTCATATCCATGAAGATGGTTATAATAAAAAAGATAGATATGGGCCTGGTGCAGTGGCTCACATCTGTAATCCCAGTACTTTGGGAGGCTGAGATGGAGGATCGCTTGAAGCCAGGAGTTTGAGAACAAAGCAAAATCCTATCTCTACAAAAATAAATAAATAAAAATTAGCTGAGTGGAGTGATATGCATCTACAACCCCAGTGCTTTGAGAGTCTGGAGGAGGAGGGGCGCTAAGGCCAGTAATTAAGGTTGCGGTGAGCTATGATTGCGTCACTCCACTCCGGCCTGGGCAACAGAGGAAGACCCTGTCTCTAAAAAATAAAATAAAATAAAATAAAAATAACCAGAATAGGCAAATCAGAGATAGAAAGTAGGTTGGTGGTTGCCTAGGGCTAGTGGTGAGGTGGGGAATTACAGCTAGGGGATAAGGGGTTTCTTTTGGGGGTTATGAAAAAGTTTTTTAATGAATTGTCGTGATCGTTGTACTATTCTGTGACTATACTAAAAGCCAATTGACTGTATACTTTAAATGGGTGAATTATATGGTGTGTGAACTATATCTCAATAAACTGTTAGCAAAATAAATCCCAAGTCTTGTTGTGACCTACGAGGCCCTCCACCATGCGACTTCATCTCCCTCCACCCTTTTCCTTGCTCACTCTGCACTAGTCGCTCTGCCTTCCTTGATGCCCTATACCCACCAAACACACTTCTAGCCCAGAGGCAGGGCTGCAGCTTATGGTTAAGTAGTTTGTACACTGCATAAAAAGCTCCTGGCTGACAACTGCAAATCAGGCTCCTGATTTTTGAGACTAGGGCCTTGGGGCTGCACCCTCTCAGAGGGATTATCTTTCTTGAATTGGTACAAAGATGTAAGTGTTTGGCCATACCTGTGCTCAGGGCTTCCGCACATACTGTTCCTCCCTCTCTTCTACTCTTCCCCCACATATCCACATAACTCAATGCTCACATTGATTCAGTTATCTGCCCAAATGCCACAGAGAGGCCTTCCCTGATCATTCTGCGGCAGCATTCCCTGACACACCCTCATTGTTCTCTATCTTCTCATTCTCTGCTATTTTACTTTCCTTTTTCCTTTTCTTCTCTCTCTTTTTTTTTTTAATCTTGGCTCAATGCAGCCTGGACCTCCTGTGCTCAAGCAATTCCCCCACCTCAGACGTCCTAGTAGCTGGGACTACAGGCATGTGCCACCGTACAAAGGTGTATGTGCTTGGCCCAGCTAATTTTTGTATTTTTTGTAGAGATGGGGTTTTACCATGTTGCCCAGGCTGATCTCAAACTCCTGAACTCAAGCCTCGGCCTCTTACTAAAGTGCTGGAATTATAGGTGTGAGCCACCGTGCGCAGCCTCTTTGATTTCACTTTATAAAACTATTGCCTGCCGGTATATTATATATTGATATTTTGATTACAGAGCTATTTCCTTTCACTAAACTGAAAGCTCCCTGGGAACAAGAGTTTTGTTTAGTTCCCTGCTGTATCCCCAGCTCCTAGAATACTGTCTAGCATACAGTAGGTACTCAATAAATTTTTTTTTTTTGAGACGGAGTCTTGCTCTGTTGCCCAGGCTGGAGAGCACTGGCACGGTCTCAGCTCACTGCAACCTCCTCCTCCCTGGTTCACGTGATTCTCTTGCCTCAGCCTTCCGAGTAGTTAGGATTACAGGCACCTGCCACCATGCCTAGCTAATTGTATTTTTAGTAGAGACAGGGTTTCACCATGTTGGCCAGGCTGGTCTCAAACTCCTGACCTCGTGACCCACCCACCTTGGCCTCCCAGAGTGTTGGGATTACAGGTGTGAGCCACCATGCCTGGCCTCAATAAATGTTTCTTAAGTGAATGAATATATGAAGTAAAACCAAGTGGTCATCAAAGGCTTAAACATGGACCTGTCTGCTGATTCTAGGTGGACAGAAAATATGATTTTCAGTGGACTGGGTTGATTGTTCAACCAAGAAAAAGTAGCCAAATGTGCCTGCCTCTCAGGGGCTGAGATTATCCACAAGACAAGGCACTGCTGACTGAATGAAGACATTAGTGGGGAGAGAGTGCCCACAGAGGGACCCGCTCTTGTTGGCCTGGCATCTTACCTCTTCCTTTGTGTAGTACTTCAGGAGTCCTTCTCTTGCCAGAAGTACAAACCTCCTTCTCAGAAACTGTGAGTTGTTCCTTCCTCGCTTCCACAGGAATCCTTCTCGGTTACCTTAAGCACCAAGGATGACAAAGAGTGAACACCTGTGACCTTAAGATGCACAAGCAGCTCAGGAACCTCAGAGGTTCTCAAGTAGGGAAATGAGCCTTCCATCTGCTGCCGAAGTATCCCCACTCAAACGTCCCTATTTCAGCTGCAGGACACAAGGATCCCATCTGGGCAAATTTTTTGATGTCTTCTCACTTCAGGGCACTTCCTACTGCCTAAAACCTTTCTTCCTTGACCTTCTGTGGTATCAGGCCATCTCATAAGAGGACCCTTAAGAATTAGGGTTTTGTTTAGTTCCCTGCTGCATCCCAGTGCCTAGAATATGTCTTAAGAAGGCAAAGTCCTGAGGAACTGGACTGATTCTGAAAGACACCTCAACTAAATACATATGGTCCTGCCCAACTTCATGATAGCATTAACCTAATGAAACTTTAGAACTAATGAGCACCCTCTAGGGATCTGCTTGTTTGAGGAATAACTTATGGGCCAGGTGCAACAGCTCACACCTGTAATCTCGACACTTTGGGAGGCCAAGGCCGACAGATCACTTGAGGTCAGGTGTTCAAGGTCAGCCTGGCCAACATGTCGAAACCCTGTCTCTACTAAAAATACAAAAATTAGCCAGGTATGGTGGTACATGCCTGTAATCACAGCTACTCGGGAGACTGAGGCATGAGAATCACTTGAACCTGGGTAGCGGAGGTTGCAGTGAGCTGAGATCATGTGACTGCACTCCAGCCTGCGTAATTGAGTGAGACCCTGACTCAATAAATAAATGAATAGAATAGAAACTTGTAGTTCTGGTAGCCAGGAGAGCTGAGCACTGCCTCTGGCCCTCTAAGAGTGGTTTTGTATACCTTTCTGTCTGGGTCAGAGTCAGCTTGGACTCAGGACAGTGGGGGTGAAACTGCCACAGGTCCAGGGCCACAGAAGAGGTTGTACCCTGCACAATGGTCAAAAGGAAGGTTGAATTTATGCCCGTGCTCCTCACCAAGCCTTGAATTGCACCAGGAACTACATTCACCAGGAGCAGGGAGATCTTTTTTGGGGCGGGGGGGTACAAAATCTCGCTTTTGTCACCCAGGCTGGAGTGCAAGGGTGTGGTCTCGGCTCACTGCAACCTCCGCCTCCTGGGTTTAAGTGATTCTTCTACCTCAGCCTCCTGAGTAGCTGGAATTATAGGTGCGCAACACCACACCTGGCTAATTTTTGTATTATTAGTAGAGACTGGGTTTCACTGTGTTGGTCAGGGTGGTCTAACTCCTGACCCCGTGAAATGCCCACCTCAGCCTCCCAAAGTTCTGGGAGTACAAATGTGAGCCACCAAGCCTGGCCAGGGATATCTTTTCCTAATTGACCTGCCCAGTGGAGGAGTCTTCCTGCAATTTATATTAAGAGTGTGGCTGGCCAGGCACGGTGGCTCACGCCTGTAATCCTAGCACTTTGGGAGGCCGAGGCGGGTGGATTGCCTGAGCTCAGGAGTTTGAGACCAGCCTGGGGAACACGGTGAAACCCTGTCTCTACTATAAATACAAAAAATTAACCCAGCGTGGCAGCGTGCACCTGTAATCCCCACTACCCCAGGAGGCGGAGGTTGCAGTGAGCCAAGATCACGCCATTGCACTCCAGCTTGGACGATGTAGCCAGACTGTCTCGAACTCGAACTCACAACCTCGGGTGATCCACCCGCCTCGGCCTCCCAAAGTGCTGGGATTACAGGTGTGAGCCACCGCGCCTGGCCCAAGACTCTGTCTCAAAAAAAAAAAAAAAAGTCTCACCGTGCACAGTGGCTCACACCTGTAATCTCAACACTTTGGGAGGCCAAAGCAGAAATGTTTGAACTCAGGAGTTCAAGACCACTCTGGGCAACATGGTGAAACCCCATCTCTACAAAATAAAAACACAAAAATTAGTCGGGTGTGGTGGCGTGTGCCTGTATTCCCAGCTACTTGGGAGGCTGAGGTGGAGAATCACGTGAGCCCAGGAGATTGAGGCTGTAGTGAGCTGTGATTGTGCCACTGCACTCCAGGCTGGACAACAGAGTGAGACCCTGTCTCAAAAAAAAAGAGTCTGTACATGCTTGTGACCCTTCAAGGACCTGAGACAAATATGCTTCTCTGCTGCTCAGAGCATAAAGATCCACCAGCCGATATGTCGTTATTTTAGTCAGAAGAACCCACACCTTGGCCTCTGTAGCCACAGTGAGAACAGCAGTCATCTCTTGGACGGATCTTGCTCCTAATATTCAGGCACTTGGTTTTTCTAGAGCTCATTAGAACATAGATTTCCAAAGATGATGGAAATAACTTTACCTGGTAGTGAGATGGCTTCCCCATCAGCCATAAATTCCCGTCTCTCATACTTAGCTCGAATCCATTGTTCCTTTAAGACCCTAAAAAAGAGAGAACCAGTGGTCACCTGCGTTTGATGCATTTTCTCTTTCTTTGAGACAAGGTCTCACTCTGTTGCCCGGGCTAGAGTGCCGTGGTGTGACCAAGGTTCACTGCAGCCTAGACCTCCTGGACCAGGTGATCCTCTGACCTCAGCCTCTTAAGTAGCTAGACCATAGGCATGTGCCACCATGCCCGGCTAATTTTTAAATTTTTGTGGAGACGGGGTCTCCCTATATTGCCTAAGCTGATCTCAAACTCCAGGGCTCAAGCGAGCCTCCTGCCTCAGCCTCCCAAAGTGCAGGGATTACTATCAAGCCTGGACTGATTGCGTTCTTTTCCCACAGTGACTTTCCAAGTCCCTGCAGTTGAGAGTGGGAACATCACAGCAGTGCCTCACTGCCTGTTCCAGCTACCTAGGATTCCTCAGCCTCAGGGCTGTTAACATTTGGGGTTGGATAATCCCTTGTTGTGTTGTCCTCTGGGTTTTCCCCCATGCTCCATAGAATGTTTAGCAGCATTTCTGGCCTCTACCCATTAGATGTCAGTAGCACCCCCACCCTAGTGTGGCACCCAAAAATGTCTTCAGGCAATGCCAAATGCCCTCTGGGGGAGATATTTCTCCTGGTGGTCTGAGAATCACTGAGCTATTCCAATCCCAGTCTTGGCTCCCTAGGTCAATGAGACAGGTACTGGCTCCTCTGGACCGTCTGCATTGCCCACACCCACTGCGTGTTCATGAGCTCAGGCAGGAGAGTCCAGGAGCCTCTTCCTATGCCTGCACATGAAATCTAGGGATGCTACATTGAACAGGGCAGTCATCTGGGGATCTGACCACGTGGGACCCGGTCTCACTCTGTCATTTATCCACCCTGTGACCAAGAGCAAGTTACCCAACTCCTCTGAATTTGGGGAATGTGCCACTATTGTTATACTCAGCCTTCATCTCCACAAAAATAAAAACAAAACAAAAAAATATAAGAGGTTTAAACGTACATAAAGGACCCAGCACCTGCTCAGCCCATAGTAGGTGTTTAATGTGACCTCAATCAGAGATTGTCATCCTTGAGTCCTGCAGAAAAACCACGCAGCTGAGAGTGACGTTATTTTAATTGTTTGGTTCCTGCTCACCTTTTCCAGGTTCCAAGGTATATATGACCTTACCCCATAGCCACAGGAATGACCTAGAGCTGGGCATCTGGCCCAACCTGGTCCTTCAGAGCTCTTTGCTGCTCTGGGCTGTGTGGACCAAGAGCCCACACAAAAGTGAAGGAGAGATTGATGGAGCTTTCTCCAGAGCTATGCTGGAAGGTGGAGCCTGGCACCTGCTTGCTGCCAGCCGTGTGAAGGAAGGCTGGCTGAGGGAAAGAGAGAAGAGAGCCAGAGAGAGTGTGAGAGACCTGATGGTGTTTGAGCTCCTGGCTTGGTCCTGCCTGAGGCTGGGTCCACCACTGTCCTTCTGGGAGTCTGATCCCCAGAACCCATCAAATCCTCTTTTTCCTAGGCTGGTTTAAATTGGGTTTCTGGCCAGGCGCAGTGGTTCACACGTGTAATCCCAGGACTTTGGGAGGCCAAGGCAGGAAAATCACTTGAGGCCAGGAGTTTGAGATCAGCCTGGCCAACAAAGTGAAACTCCATCTCTACCAAAAATGCAAAAATTAGCTAAGCATGGTGGCATGTGCCTGTAATCCCAGCTACTTGGGAGGCTGAAAGAGGAGAATTGCTTGAACCCAGGAGGCAGAGGTTGTAGTGAGCTGAGATTGTGCCCCTGTATTCCAGCCTGGGTGAAAAAGCAAGACTTTGTCTCAAAAATAAATAAATAAATAGGGTTTCTGTCACTTATAATCAAGAGTCCAGGCTGGGCATGGACACTCATGCCTGTAATCCCAGCACTATGGGAGGCCAAGACAGGCTAAGACAGGCAGATGGCTTGAGCTCAGCTCAAGAGTTTGAGAGCAGCCTGGGCAACATGACAAAACCTCATCTCTACAAAAAAAATTTTTTTTAAGTACAAAATTACTAGGTTAACAAAAATTAACCGCGCATGATGGCACACACCTGTAGTCCCAGCTACTTGGGAGGCTGAGGTGGGAGGATCACTTGAGCTGAGGTCAGGGCTGCAGTGAGCCATGATTGTACCATTGAACTCCAGCCTGGGTGACAGAGTAAACCCTCGTCTCTATATTTTAAAAAACAGAGAGAGAGAGAGTCCTTCCTAGTGCACAGCCCGCAGATCATTGAGGAGAATCACCTGGCCCACCATGAAGGTGGAAAGCCTGGGACCCAGGATCAGAGCTGGGAGAACGAGTGGAGACCAAGGGCCACTAGTCTTGGTCCTGGAGGTGGTCATTAGTACTCAGCTAAAAAGGGCTAAAGTGCAGGGCTGCTGCTGGCGTCATGGCAGGTAATGTCTGTGTAGTGCCAGCAGGAAGCCTAGCACAGAGCAGCTACTTACAGAGCACTTAGAGCAAAGGGCAGAGTGGCAGCAGCTAGCCAGGATAAGACAGGCCCTCTGACGTTGAGCCAGCACAACTGGCCACGGACAGGTAGCATTCTGAAGTAGACACGGTGAAATGGATTCAAAGGAGTGCGTCGGGTGGCATGTGAAAGGTTCTACCTAAGTTATCTCATGTAATCTCTACAACTACGTGATGACGCGGGCATCCTTGTCCACATTTCAGAGATGAGAATGCTGACAGAGAGATTTGCTCACTTGTCCACGTCCTCACAGCTAGATTGATGGTGGAGTTGAGAAAGAAAAGAGAGGTCTTCCAAGCAGAAAGCTGTGCTTCCCCAGCCACGCCACAGACCATGAGTAGCCCTTAATTGTCTAAGCACTGAGAAATTCCAGGACCACTAGGTACGGTTATATAGTCTGTGCACTGCCCAGAAGCACCTTGCTGAGGCTCAGCGGCTGAAATGCAGCTGCTTTCTGTTTGCCAGGCATATCCCATATGGCTGTGTCAGCCTAACGGGATACTTTCTCCACATTTACACAAGACATTGTCTAGCAGCCTGGATGGCGAGTCTAAGTACCTGGGAAGGAGTTGCAGCTCAGGCAGTCAGATCTGCTGAGGTCCAGGGCCACTAGGTACCAGTATCACACTAACCCTCACCTCCAGGGGACCTGAACCCTCCTGCTGCTTCAAATCCTCGCTCTGACACTGAATTCTCCCATTGCCATGATACAGACACCCAGGCCCTGGTGTCAGACAGGCTAGACCAGTTCTGCCTCCACAAACCTCAGATTTTTCATCTGTAGCATAGGGATAACAGCAGTACTTGTAGGGTTGTTGAGAGAATTAAACAGATACATGCACATAAGCATTTTGCACAGGGCCTAGTACTTGAGCAAAGCTCAATAATATTAGTAGCTACTTTTTTTTCTTTTTTTTTTTTTGGAGACAGAGTCTCATTCTGTCACCAAGGCTGGAGTGCAGTGGCACAATCTTGGCTCAGTGCACCCTTGGCCTTCGGGTTCAAGCAATTCTCGTGCCCCAGCCTCCCGAGTAGCTGGGACTACAGGCATAAGCCACCACACCTGGCTAATTTTTCATTTTTAGTAGAGACAGAGATTCACTATGTTGGCCAGGTTGGTCTTGAACTCCTGACCTAGAGTGATCCACCTGCCTCAGCCTCCCAAAGTGATAGGATTACAGGCATAAGCCACCATGCCCAGCCAGTAGTTACCATATATATGTGTGTATATATATGGTAACTACTGGTTACCAGGAGTGACAGAGTGAGACCTTGCCACAAAAAAAAAAAAAATATATATATATATATATGTATATATGTGTGTATATATATATATATATGTATATATATATATTGTGTGTGTGGCAAGGTCTCAGCCTGTCACTCATACTAGAGTGCAGTGACACATGGAATCCTAGGTCACTGCAATCTGACTCAAGCAATTCCCCTACCTCAGCCTTCCTAGTAGCTCAGACTACAAGCATGGGCCACTATGCCCTGGCTAAGTTAATTTAATTTAATTTTTTATAGAGACAGGGTCTTGTTATGTTCCTCAGGCTGGCATTGAACTCCTGTCTTCAAGTGATCCTCCCACTTCAGCGTCCCAAAGTGCTGGCATTACAGGGACCAGCCATTGTGCCTAGCTGTTATTCTTATTTTTATGGTTATTATTTAGAGATCTGCAGCTCAGGCAAGTTGCTTAGAACCAACCTGAGCTCAGGTGGCAGAACCCTAGACATATTTCTCTAAAGGAAGTAGCTGAATCACAGTTGGTCTAGTAAGATACCAGTGTTTAACCCCTCTATCAAGTTATCCACCATCTGTAAGCTACAAGAATATCACAGAGAAAAATCATAGAGATCATAGAAAGGCAGAGATCATAGAGAAAAATCCTCCATTTCAGGGCTGTGGAAACTGAGGCCCAGAGAAAGGAAGAGGCACACTTAAGCAACAGAAGCAGAAAGAGGCTTACACCAGTCCTCCCATGTGCTCTCTGTGATGATATCCAGTGCTTTCCTGGATCTACCTGCACACCAGGCCCATCGCAGTGACCACCACAGACAAAGGCACCAAAGATGGAGAGGGGGAGGAGGTGGAACCAGGACAACCCCCTCACCCAGTCCCTAAGGAATCATTCACTCACAGGCAGTCATTGGCCTGGGGGATGTAGTAGAAAGCTGGGACTCTGGCTTCGAACTTGGCCTTCACACGGAGGTTCCCATTGCGGGTCATAAACTGCAAGACAACAGCAATTTGGGGTAATATTAGAACTTGAAGAAACATGAAATTAAACTATGAGGCCACTGACTTAGGCTGAGTCAGAAGAAACTGCCTCCAAGAAGGAGATGTCCCACCGGGCTTGGTCATGCATACCACTGGGGAGCCCCCGGCTTGTAACAATCATAGATATAATCATGCCTCATATGGGCACAGGACTCCACAGTGCTCACACATCATCTCAGCCATCGTCACATCACTGTACTCATTTTACAGATGTGTCAACTGAGGCTCAGAGGGGTTAGATGACTTGCTCAAGGAAACAAAGCTATAAGTGGAGAACTGGGATTTGAATCCAGACCTGACTCCAAGGCTCATATTCTTCCCATCATGCCTTCCACAGATGGCCAGGACCCCCAGCAGCCCTGAAAGTCTGCAGGAGACAAATGTACCTGGAAGATGGAAGAAGTGGGTGCTGGCGTCATGGAGTGCATAGGTCAGGATGGTTAGTAGGGCCCTTTGGCACTCAGGAGACCCAGAGGCTGATGCACCAAAAGCGGCCCTGGCAGCAGTGGCATAGCTAGGGTGCAGGCAGAAGTGGGAAGAAGCACCAGATTGTTACTGGTGTAGAGTGAATCCTACTCTTCTCCTCTGCAGGGGCCTCTAGGCTGTGTCACCAGCTTTGAATCCCAACAGAGCAGGATTCAAATCTTGCCTGCTATTTATTTGATGAATGACCCTTGGAATCTCACCTGTAAAACTGAAGAAAATTGCCAGGCATGGTGGCTCAAGCCTGTAATCCCAGCACTATGGGAGGCCAATGGCAGGGGATCACTTGAGGTGAGCAGTTAGAGACCAGCCTGGCCAACATTGTGAAACCTTGTCTCTACTTAAAAAATACAAGAATTAGCCAGGCATGGTGGCGGGCACCTGTAATCCCAGCTACGTGGGAGGCTGAGGCAGGAGAATTGTTTGAATGTGGGAGGCGGAGGTTGCAATGAGCAGAGATCATGCCACTGCCCTCCAGCCTCGGCAACAGAGCAAGACTCTGTCTCAAAAAAAAAAAAAAAAAAATTAGCCGAGTGTGGTGGTGCACACCTGTAATTCTAGCTACTCAGGAGGCTAAGGCACAAGAATTGCTTGAACCTGGGAAGTGGAAGTTGCAGTGAGCCAAGATTGTGCCACTGCACTCAAACTTGGGTAACAGAGGGAGTAAGACTCCGTCTCAAAAAAAAAAAAAAAGACAAAAATATAACAGGGGGCTGGGCGCAGTGGCTCACACCTGTAATCCCAGCACTTCAGGAGGTGGAGGCGGGTGGATCACCTCAGATCAGGAGTTCGAGACCAGCCTGGCCAACATGGCGAAACCCCATCTCTACTAAAAACACAAAAAATTAGCCAGGAATGGTGGTGGGTGCCTGTAATCCCAGCTACTCAGGAGGCTGAGGCAGGAGAATCACTTGAACCCAGGAGGTGGAGGTTGCAGTAAGCAGAGATCACACCACTGCACTCCAGCTTGGGTGACAGAGTGAGTCTTCATCTCAAAAAAAAAAAAAAAAAAAAAAAAAAACAAAAACAAAAGCCAGCACCGTGGCTCACACCTGTAATCGCAGCACTTTGGGAGGTAGAGGTGGGCGGATCACTAAGGTCAGGAGTTCGAGACCAGCCTGACCAACATGGTGAAACCCCATCTCTACTAAAACTATAAAATTAGCCAGAGTGGTGGCGCATGCCTGTAATCCCAGATACTCAGGAGGCTGAGGCACGAGAATCGCTTGAACCCGGGAGGTGGAGGCTGCAGTGAGCCAAGATCATGCCATTGCACTCCAGCCTGGGCAACAAGCGCGAAACTCCATCTCAAAAGAAAATAAGAGAAAAGAAAAGAAAACAGAACAGGGGAGTTAAAAGGTGCAAGTACTATCCTTCAGGCTTATGTGCTGGTTTACTGGTCTCTAGCCTTTCACCTGCAGTAGAATGTAAGCTCTGTATGGGCAGCGGCTCTATCTGGTTCTTTGTTCTCTCCCAAGACCCAGCACATAGTAAGGTGACACTAAAGCCTCCAGCCCAGTGCTGTCTAGCACAGTACCTGGCACAGAGTGGGCACTCAGTAAATGTCAGCCTGCTTCCCCAGTAGCCCTGGAAACCCTCAGCCAACCCAAATAGTTCAGAACTGCCTGCTCTCTGGAGGTTTTCTGACCAAAATGGAATTGCCATGGAGGCTGAAGGTATCCTCCACACCCAGAGAGCAGGAGAGCAAAGTGGTCCTCTTCCTGCCTAGGGGGAAAGGAGGAGGAATTTAAGACCATGAATCAGGTTATTTCCCTTCCTCCAGTCCAAGGCTTCACTAATGATAACAGCAATTTTTTTTTTTTTTTTTTTAGTTTTTGTGGCAGAGTCTCACTCTGTCACCCGGGCTGGAGTGCAGTGGTGTGATCTTGGCTTACTGCAGCCACAACCTCACAGGCTCAGGTGATCTTCCCACCCCAACCTCCCAAGTATCTGGGATGAAAGGCGCATGACACCACACCCAGCTAACTTTTGTGTTTTTTGTAAAGACGAGGTTTCACCGTGTTGCCCAGGCTGCTCTTGAACTCCTGGGCTCAAGCGATCGATCCACCAGCCTCAGCCTCCCAAAGTGCTGTGATTACAGGTGTGAGCCACCACACCCGTCCAATAACAATTGTTAACTGACTACTTTCTTTGTATCTGGAGTGAGCCTATATTAATCTTCACAGCAGTGCTGTGAAATTGGTGGTGGTAGCCAGGCATGGTGGCTCACAGCTGTAATACGAGTACTTTGGGAGGCTGGGGTGATTGGATCGCCTGAGGTCAGGAGTTCGAGACCAGCATGACAAACATGGTGAAGCCTGGTCTCTACTAAATACAAAAAATTAGCCAGGTGCGGTGGCAGGCGCCTATAATCCCAGCTGCTTGAGAAGCTGAGGCAGGAGAATCACTTGGAAGGCGGCAGTTACAGTGAGCCGAGATTGCTCCACTGCACTCCAGCTTGGACAACACAGTAAGACGCTGTCTCAAAAAAATAAATAAATAAATAAGCAAATGATGGAGTCAGAATTTGAACTCAGGGCCTCCGTTTAAGCTGCTATGTTATAGGCTGTGTTTTCTCTGGCAAGACTTGCCCGTTTCTGGGCCTCAGTTTCCCCGTCTGTAGAATGGGAGCCACCTGCCCACTGCCTCCACCCCAGCTCCGTGGTTCCACGGCTCTCCACGCGCATGCCTTTCTACCTCCACAATACTGTCGTCCCAGAAGTCAAGTCGCACGGATTTAACTTTGCTGATGTCAGGGAAGTTACGGTGGACGCCGCAGCAGTTGAGACAGATGAAGACCCCCAGCTTGTAAGAGGCCCAGTCGGGATCTGCAGCGGGAGAGGCAGGAGAGGAACTGAGCCGAAAGGGCGGCGAAGAAACCAGGGATGGGCTAGGGGCGCTGGGGCAGGCAGGACGCCCTTCTCCCAACTAGGGCGAACTAGGCGGCCAGCCTGGCACCTTCTGTTTAGCCCACCGGCCGCTGCGCGGCGACCGGCGACCGGGATGAAGACCCTGGAGGGAGTCTAGGGTCCGGGGGAAGAGTCTGAGGCGGCGCGATGTGGAAGTGACTGGACTCAGAGGGAACCGAGAGGAGGGCGCGGGGGGCGCACCACGGGGCTCGGCGGGGAGCTGCGGGTGGGGAGGTTGAGTCACTGGGCTCTTGGCGACCGCGGGGTGGGGCGCTGGGGAGGCCTTCGGGGGCTTCCGGAGGCGGGCAGAGGGCACGCGACGGTCGGGGGCCTGGGCCCGAGGTCTGGTCCCTGTGTGGGATGTCTGAGTCCGAGGGCTTGGGGAGCGCCTGGGTGCCGAGACACTGGCAGTCGGGTGCCGGCCAGGGAAAACAGCGAGACCGGCAGGGCTCCCCGCTGCCGGTTCTCGTGTCGGGGTCCAAGCACGTGGGAAGATCCGCGCCGGTCCCGCGTGGGGAGCAGGGCCTGGGCTCTGAGGGACCGGGGGCCGAGTGCCGAGAGAGCTGTCAGGGCTCGGGTGGGAGGTTCACGGTGTGGGTGGGAGGGATTCCGGCTCACAGGTCCCACCTGTGGGTCCAGCGGGGGCCGAGGGCGGAACCCGGTGGGGCCGAGGGGAGGAGTCCGGCGGGCCGGGGGTCCGGCGCCGCCGCGCTCTTACCTGCCGCCCCGCAGTCCGCGCAGTGTGCGTTGCCGGTGCCCGCCGCCTGCAGCAGCTCCAGCAGCCGCTTCTTGTTGCGCTCGCGATCGCCCATGGCCGGCCCAGCGGGCTAAGCGGGGCTCAGCCCATGGCCCGTGCGCTCTGCCCGGCAGGTGAAGACCGACCCGTCCGCTGTGCCTCAGCCAGGCCCCGGCGGCCGCCAGCCCCGCCCCGCCCGCCCGGACTGTCCGCCCCTCCCTCGGCCAGTCCAGGCAGGTCCCGGGCTCCGCCGACAACTCACGGGGAGGGACAGGAGCACGCAACTTGGAGTCTAACACCCTGGCCCAAGATCAAATCGTAGCCCGTCACTTGCTAGCTGCGAGGCTGTGGACAACCTAATCGACCTCTCTGGGTCTCAGTTTCCACGTCTCTGAAAGAGGAACAGGGACATAGGTCTGCATCTCAGCGCTTCTTGGAAAATTAACCAGAATCTAACTTCTCTTAAACCATGCTGTTGATCTTAAAATCTATTTGGAGACGTAGCTATATGTAAATACCATATCCTCAGGAAGCCCTCCATGATACCCTACCTGGAGTAATCTCTGCTGCCTCTGGGCCTCCTAGAATACTGTTGCAGTATGTGTCCATTTCTTTTGGCCTTGAGCACTTTCCACCTACCTTGCATCATGGTTATTTATATATTTGTGTTAATTCCACTCTCTGACCCCAGACACACACATCACCATACCAGAGAGTTTGGCGTTAGCAGTTTTATTCCTGCATTCCATATTGCTCCTAGAAATGGTACCTGCACATTTTTAGAAGTCCAACTAATAGTTGCATGATTTTGTTCACCAGCAAAGTGTGGTTTCACCAAGGTGGACACAGCCATGCACTTTAACCTGTGACGTTCCATCACCATGAGGTGAAGGTAAGATATGGGTGTTCTTAAATCTGGGCATTTCATTAATCCTCTTTCCTGCTCCCCTATCTTTGTTACTCCCTGACATCATCTTCAGTGACTCACGGGCCTCCTGGTGAAATACATACTGTACATACTTGCCATCTCCTCTGTAGGTTAATAGCTGTCTATCATATGTAGAGGGCTTAATGCACACATGCATATGATGCATTAAGTTATCTGCATATGATAGACAGGTGTTAACCTTCAAGATAAAATCAGGTTTCCATCCTGGTGAATCGCAGCTGATGTTCTAGCTGACCTGCCTACATCCCTATTCAACACACATGCGGGTGACAGCACTCACGTGCACACACATGCACAGCAATCTGGTGCAATGGAACGAATTCAGGAATCCAGAAATTCAGGCTTTAAACGTTGACTCCTTCATTTCCACATTTCCCAACTGTTCGTCCTTGGGCAAGTTCTTTCACTTCTCTGAGCCTCGGAATCCTCAAACTGTAAAATGCAGATTTTGAGATCTACTAATAGGGTCATTGAGATGGCACAAAAAACCCTCTAAACATGGTGGCCCCCTTGCTTCCCCTGCCCCTCTGGTCAGCTCGTGGGATTGTCGCTTGGAATGCTGTCTGTGATTCCAGTCATCCCTGGGGTGGGAGGAGGTCAAGCTGCCAGGACTGAGCGGGAAGGGAGGGTGGAGAACATTACCAAGAATAGCTAGCCATGAGGGGGTCTTGCCTTTGAGGGGGTGAGACCTAGCCCAGGAGCAGCCACAGAGGAGCCAGTGAGAGAGTCAGCTGGGGTCAGGAGGCATGGGGCTGTTTATTAAACAGGCTGAAAGATGATTCATTTCCGTTGCTTTAGATGAAAAAAGGGACAGAAATAAATCTCCCAGGAGAAAGATGAAGGCAGAGGAAGGAGGAAGAGAGGGAGAGGAGGAGACAAGCTGGGGACATTTCTCTTCTCCCCAGCACTGGGGCAAAATTGTGATGTGGGGGTGCTTCCTCGGAACCCCACCCTTCCCCAGTCCCTGCTCCTTTGCTTCTCTGACACCTTGAGTCTCACTGCCACCTCCCTGCAGGTCCCACAGAAACCAACTCAGTTCTAAGTAGGCTCTGGTTGAATTTTAGAAATTAAAAAAAAAAAAAAACAAAAGAAAAATATAGCCAATACAATAGAAAATATAGCATCTAATTTAGGGTGAGGAGTGAGAGACTGAGAGATTCCTTTAGTGTCCCCCTCTTCCCTTCCTTATTTCTGGACATTCCCATCAAACAGCCTTAATGTGGCATTTCAGGCATCCTCAGAGTAAAACAATGTACTCTGGTATTTAGTTTATAAGGCTTTCTCTTTTTTTTGAAATGAAATTTCATTCTTGCTGCCCAGGTTGGAATGCAATGGCGTGATCTTGGCTCATGACAACCTCTGCCTCTTGGGTTTAAGTGATTCTCCTGTCTCACCCTCCCAAGTAGATGGAATTACAGACATGGGCCACCACACCCTACTAATTTTTGTATTTTTAGTAAAGATGGGATTTCTCCATGTTGGTCAGGCTGGTCTTGAACTCCTGACCTCAGGTGATCTGCCTGTCTTGGCCTCCCAAAGTGCTGGGATTACAGGTGTGAACCACTGCGTCCGGCTTTCTTTTCTTTTCTTTTACTTTCTTTCTTTTCTTTTTAAATTTTTTGTGGTGGTGGCGGCAGGACAATGCTGATGAACAATTATTCAGTTTTGTTTTGTTTTTTTTTTACAAAACAGTCTCACACATTTGATCATATTTGAGCTTCATGACACTCTCTGAGGGCAGCATCATATCAGGCCACTTTGCAGAAGAGAAAGCTGAGCCTCAGAGGAGTTAAGTTATCCAAGGTCATGGAGCCACATAAGAATCGGAACAGGCCTAAATCCAGATGTCCTTTTGTGGCTCAGTCAGTCCCAGGTGATTTCATGAAACTTTCTCCCTTTAGTGCATTCTGGACTTTTTTTTTTCTCACTTAAATTGTGGTGCAGTTAATAAGGTTGCTCCTTAAAAAAAAAAAAAAAAAAAAAGAAAAAATATAAATTTAAAAATTGTGATAAAATCTAAATAACATAAAATTTGCCATTTTAACAGTTTTTTTTCTTTAGAAACAAGGGTGTCACTGTCACTCAGGGTCCAGTGCAGTGGTACAATCAAAGTTCAGTGCAGCCTTGAACACCTAGGCTCACGTGATCCTCCCGCTGCAGCCTCCTGAGTAGCTGGGACTATGGGAGCGTACCACCAAACCCAGCAATTTTTTTTTTTTTTCTATTTTCACAGAGACAGAAGCTTGCTTTGCTGCCCAAGCTGGTCTCCAATTTCTGGCTTCAAGCAATCCTCCAGCCTCGGTCACCCAAAGCTTTGGGATTACAGGTATGAGCCGCCATGCCCCACCCATTTTAACCATTTCTAAGTGTACAATACCATATCATCAATTGCATTCAATTATATTCACAATGTTGTGCAATTATCCCCACTATTTTAACAAATATTTGAGAAAGAAAGATTGTATACATTCAATTGACATTTGTGCACATTGTATAATGATTCCCACAATCACATTAATGAACACATCCATCACCGTACATACTACACCTTAGATCCCCAGAATTACTCTCATAACTGAGTTTGTACCCTGTATTTCCTACACTACTTATTTCCAAAACTTTTGCATCATCCTAAACAGAAACTGTAGCCCCAGCCTGGACAACACGGTGAAACCCCGTCTCTGCAAAAATTACCAAAATTAACTGGCTGTGGTGGTGTGTGCCTGTAGTCCCAGCTACTGACGAGGCTAAGGTGGAAGGATCGCTTGAGTCCAGGAGGCAGAGGTTGCAGTGAGCCATGATCACACCACTGCACTCCAGCCTGGGCGACAGAGCAAGACTGTCTCAAAAACAAAACAAAACTCTGTAGCCCACTCCTGGGTATTGGACATGATGAAAATTGAGGTTAGCTTCTGTGCTCAGGACCCAGAAACTGCTTCTAAATGAAGAGGACAGTGCCAAAGGCTGTCATGACCAAGGCGGACACTGAGCACTGTGACCCAGGGTTTGAGGAACAGGATAGGTCAAAGCAGCCCCTCTGAGGGGCTCAGTACAGCAGATGCTGGAGTGAGGGAGCAGTTTGGGCCGTGGGACACAGTGTCCTCTATAAATAAAGCTCCCAGGGTCCCACCAAGCAAAAACATCTAGCCCTCTTCTCAGGTCACTGTCTTTGTTTAGCCAACCCAAGCCGCAGCAGGGCTGTAAGAAAGCCCTCAACCACATTCCCAGAAACAGCCTCAAGATCCCCACTCAAGAGCTTCAGGGAATAGAACACAATTCCTTTGAAAATTAAATAATTGGCTGGCGTGCTGTGGCTCACGCCTGTAATCCCAGCACTTTGGGAAGCAGAGGTGGGTGGATCACCTGAGGTTACAAGTTAGAGACCAGTCTGGTCAACATGGTGAAACCCCGTATATAATAAAAATACAAAAATCAGCTGAGCATGGTGGTAGGCACCTGTAATTCCAGCTACTCAGGAGGCTGAGGCAGGAGAATTGCTTTAACCCAGGAGGCAGAGGTTGCAGTTAGCCAAGATCGTGCCACTGCACTCCAGCCAGAGACAGAAGCTTGTCTTGCACTCAAGAAGACACAGCAAGACTCCATCTCAAAAAAAACAAAAACAAAAACAAACAAAAAAAAATAATTATGTTTATTAGCTTTAGAATTTTTTAAAAGTATAGGAAATTTGAAAAATACAGTAAAGAAGGAAAAAGCCACCACCCACGATTATGGCCACCATTTATTCTGGGATTCTAGTGTGCCAGACCCCTTACATGCATTATTCCATTTAATCTTAGCCATAACCCTGAGATACAGACTATGTTTATGCCCATTTTACAGATGAGGCTACTGTGGCTCAGAGAGAAGTTAAGTATATTTGTCCAAGGTTGCGCGCCTGAGATTTTGTATACTGAATCATGCATACTGAAGCTGGGATTTGAAACCAAGTTTGCCTTGGACTCTTTTCACCAATATATTAGGTTGAACCATATGAAATTGACTTAACAAAATGACAGTGGAAATGTCATAAAGTTCAACCCAACTTTATGGTTTTTTGTTTGCTTGTTTGTTTTCAGAGTCTCTGTTGCTCAGGCTGGAGTGCAGTGGTACGATCTTTGTTCACTGCAGCCTCTGCCTCCCAGATTCAAGCAATTCTCAGGCTTCAGCCTCCCAAGTAGCTGGGATTACAAGCAGGTGACACCACACCCAGCTAATTTTTGTTTTTTGAGATGGAGTCTTGCTCAATCGCCAGGCTGGAGTGCAGTGGTACAATCTGGCTCACTGCAACTTCTGTTTTCCAGTTTCAAGCAATTCTCTTTGAATTGCCTCGGCCTCCCCAGTAGCTGGGACTACAGGCACACACCACCATGCCCAGCTAATTTTTTGTATTTTTAGTAGAGACAAGGTTTTGCCATGTTGTCCAGCTGGTCTCAAATTCCTGGCCTCAAGTGCCCACCTCAGCCTCCCAAAGCTCTGGGATTACAGGTTTAAGCCACCGTGCCTGGCCCTAACATTATGCTTTTTAATAATCCTGCTGCTGACCATCATTAACAATTCTGTGAATTTCCTTCAGGTCTTTTATGCATATTTAAATATGATTGGAACCATATTTTTCATACAACTTTATACCCATTTTGTGCTTTCTTTTCTTTCTTTTTTTTTTTTTTTGAGACTGAGTCTTCCTGTGTCTCCCAGGCTATAGTGCAGTGGCATGCTCTCGGCTGATCGCAACCTTGCCTCCCTGGTTCAAGTGATTCTCTTGCCTCAGCCTCCTGAGTAGCTGGGACTACAGAAGCGCACCACCATACCTGTCTAATTTTTGTGTTTTTAGTAGAGACAGGGTCTCAAAAAAAAAAAAAAAAACCAGCCCGAGTGCAGTGGCTTATGCCAGGCTGGTGTCGGACTCCTGATCTTGAATGCCTAAGGAGGCTGAGGCAGGCAGATCACCTGAGATCAGGAGTTCGAGACCAACCTGGCCAACATGGCAAAACCTGGTTTCCACTAAAAAAAAAAAAAAAAATACAGGCCAGGTGCAGTGGCTCACATCTGTAATCCCAGCACTTTGGGAGGCCAAGGTGGGCAGATCACAAGGTCAGTAGTGCGAGACCAGCCTGACCAAAATGGTGAAACCCCATTTCGATTAAAAATACAAAAATTAGCTGGGCATGGTGGCGTGTGCCTGTAATCCCAACTACTTGGGAGGCTGAGGCAGTGGGATAGCTTGAACCTGGGAGGCGGAGATTGCAGTGAGACAAGATCATACCACTGCACTCCAGCCTGGCGATAGAGTAAGACTTCATCTCAAAAAAAAAAAAAAAAAAATGCCGGGCGCGGTGGCTCAAGCCTGTAATCCCAGCACTTTGGGAGGCCGAGGCGGGTGGATCACGAGGTCAAGAGATCGAGACCATCCTGGTCAACATGGTGAAACCCCGTCTCTGTTAAAAATACAAAAAATTAGCTGGGCATGGTGGTACATGCTTGTAATCCTAGCTACTCAGGAGACTAAGGCAGGAGAATTGCTTGAGCCTGGGAGGCAGAGGTTGCAGTGAGCCAAAATCACACCACTGAACTCCACTCCACCCTGGGCAACATAGTGAGACTATGTCTCAAAAAACAAAATGAAACAAAAAAACTGTATTTTCAAGCATCATACTCTACTCTACTGTAATTGCTTGCTGGTTTATTGGTCTCTCACACTTCTCTTTTTTTTTAAGACGGGGTTTCACCATGTTGGTCAGGCTGGTCTTGAACTCCCAACCTCAGGTGATCCGCCCGCCTTGGCCTCCAAAGTGCTTGGATTACAGGTGTGAGCCACCACGCCTGGCCGGTCTCTCACACTTCTAAGCTTCAGGGACAGGGGTTGGGTCAGATGTGTTCTCTGTTGTATCCCCAAGCACCTGCATGCCACATAGCAGGGATTCAACAAATGTTTGTTAAAATAAACAAAGAAACAAGGATCAGTAAAAAATAATAATCAATAAAGTAAGAAGACTTGGGATCACAAAGTATTTTCCCTTTTGAAGGAAAGAATTCCTTTTGAAGGCAAATGAAACAGCTGACAAGCAGCCATGCAGAGTAAATAATGTGATCGAATTGACCAACATATTTGTGTGTTTAATATCACCTTGTCTTCAGCAACTGGAACCACTCACATCTCAGAGGGACTCCCCACTGCAGTACCCCCTCAGGGCTTGCTCATTCATTCATTATTTATGGGGCACCTACTATGTGCCAGATACTGTTACAGGTGCTGAGATATGGCCACATATCTGGGGAGATAGCTGCCTTTGTGGAGTTTACCTTCAAGTTAGGGAGACAGAAAATGAACAGAGAAA